TACGTTACAAACAAACAAAAACAGATCTATCCCACGGAAACCGTTCATTTTTCGGGGATGAAAAGTAACCTGTTGTTTGACAGGCAATATAAGATATCAGCATGCCAAATTTTACTAAATTAGGTGCATATGTACTAAGCTGTATAAGTTACTATAGTTTTTTAACTATCCCACAGGAACTCTTTAATTTTCCGGAATAAAAAGTATCTTACATGTTGACCGAGGATATAAGGTACGACTATACAAAATTTCATTTAAATCGGTTTAATAGTTTCGAAGATTAGCCCGTACAAACAGACAGACAGAGAAACAAAAAACTTGAAAAAAATCTGGATTTGTTCTATTTTTTTTCTTACGGGATGTAAAAAGATAACTGACACGGTTTTTAGCATTTTTTTTCTATGTACAGACATTCGACCTCTACAGTTTTATTATATTGTTTATAGATAGAATAAATAATGTATAATAAAACAGTAATATATAATAATGAAAATAGTTATAGCGAGTGTACCTTAGGAGATAGACATATACTATTGAGAACTTTTCTATCGACCTTTTTTAGACTTACAATTTGCTTGTACAATATTTTGATCTATCTCTTAAGGTTGAGTCAGCGTTAGCCATATAAATTTTAAAGGACAATTCGATAGAACCAGTTATTGTGTTTTCCAGTGGGAATGAATAATTTTCCTGTCGTAAAAGGTATCGTAAATGTTGACCCAAGTACTAAGTTGTCACTATACAAATTTAGTTAAAATCGGTTCAGTACTTTTTGCGTAAAACGCGCACATCGAATTGATTAAGTTAGTTTTACTATAGGTATAGATAACAACAGATATTGCTTAGGAGATATACAATATACATATACTATTCAGAACTTTCCTGTAGGACTTTTCAAGACCTAACATTTTTAGTATATAGTTTTTATGTATGTATGTCTTAAGGTTTATCCAACCGAAGGTTTCTAGGGAGGACTCGATAAATCCAGTTATTGTATCTTCCCGTAAGAAAGAAAGGTTTTCTTAAAGTACAAGGTATCCTAAACGCTAAATCAAGTAATAAGTTATCACTTCACCAAATTTCGTTGAAATCGGTTTATTACTTTTCGCGTGAAACGAGCATACAAAAACAGACAAACAGACATACAGGCAAACAGACAAACAGACAATTTTTACCCTTAAATTTTCCGGGATAAAAAGTATCTAAGATATTGACCGGAGATATAAGGTACCACCATGCAAAATTTCATTTAAATCGGTCCAACAGTTTCAGAGATTAGCCCGTACAAAAATACAAACAAAGTTACAAACAGACATACAGGTAAACAGACAAAACTATTAATAACTATTGTTTTGGGATCTATATTGTATACATAATACGTTACAAAAAAACAAATAAAAAGTAGCCAATTTGTTATAGTCATGTATGAACTATATTATTGTAAAGTTTTATTAAAATCCAAATAGTAGTTTTTATGCACTAAGCTGTATAAGTTATTAGAGTTTTTTAACTATCCCACGGGAACTATTTAATTTTCCGGGATAAAAAGTATTTAAGATGTTGCCCAGGGATATAAAGTATTCCCCCCCAACGTGCGTTCACCTTGTCGTGGTGGGGGGGCTCAGTAGTGCCCGGCAACACAACCGGGCGCGAAGCCAAGAAACGCACAGGGAGGTGGCCCACTTCGGTGGGTGGTGGGAGGTGGCCCTCTTCGGAGGGCGGTGTACCATGCGGGTTGCTCCTGGTACTTCTCTGATAGCAGAGTGGACCTTGGAGCAACCCGTGGTTGTTGTGGTCTGCTTCGGCAGACCTGCCGTCGGGGCGTCGTAGTTGAATGCGTAAGCGATCCTGCGACGCCCCATTAAGACGGGGGAAGGCTTTGTTGGGTTTTAGTGGGTAGTACTGGCTTTGCTGGTGAGTCCCACACCTCGTGCGTAAATGCATTTCCCAACGTTAAAAAAAAAAGGGATATAAAGTACTACCATACAAAATTTCATTTAAATCGGTCCAATAGATTCCGAGATTAGCCCATACAAACAGACAAACAGAGAAACAAAAGAATGAAAAATATTTGGATTTGTTCTATTTGTCTTCTTACTCGGTTTTTAGCATTTTTTTGCTATGTACGGACATTCGACCTCTACTGTTTTATTATAGTATAGATTACGAATCTTTTGTATAGGAATATAGAAAAGTGATGTTTTAAGACATTTTCAGGCAATTTTTTTAATTTTTTTTTTCCGTAAGAACCATCCTCGTACTTCAGGGATTTTCTAAAAAAAGATTTAGCCAAACCGGTTCAGCTGCTCTCGAGATTTGCGCTTAGCAACACATTCAGCGATTCATTTTTATATTATAGATATGTATATTATGCACATGTAAACTGCCTCGGTGGTGTAGTGGCTAGCATGTATGGCTGCACACACAAATGATAAAACTTGGGAAAGATTGAAACATAAAAGGGTCAATGTATTTCAACAAATTAGAGGGTCAGACAAGACATTACGCTTATAGTAGTAAGGCGCCTTTGGATATTAAGGGCACTTTTCAAACAATTATCAATGCGAATGAGAAATCAGTTGAAGCGGGTGTTTTTACTGCTAGTTAATTATAAATGAATTACATATTTCAGTCGCCAAAAATTACACGTATTACACTTTTTTTATCTTATAGGTACATACATTGGTAACAATCAAACATGTCTGTAAATTACGACATAAGGGGACTCCCTCGTGTGGTTTGTTCAAAAATTTGTCTTTTTTGCATAAATTAATTCCCTTACAGTACAGAATAGTCTGGTAAAGTAATTTTTAAATTTTCGAAGTCGCTATGAAGATACAGCAGTTCGAAATCAGTGTTTAGTTATAAGTTGTTCATTTATTATATATATATATATATATATATATATATATATATATATATATATATATATATATATATATATACATATCATATCAGTCGTCTGTAATGCGCGCCAGGTAACGGACGCGCATTGCATGCACACACTGACCCGAATTTTTATTCCGCCGCTAGCCGCGACCGGATACCGCCGCTATGAGTTCCGAAAAACTCATAGCTAACGAGCTGTTGGCGTTTATACAGCACGCCATCGATTCTATGGACGAGGTCAGCATCATGCAGATCTGGAAGTCGAGCTTTAAGCAAGAGGAGATTTGCAGGAGCAAGGTGCTGCTCTATGAGACTCTCGGCCAGGCCGACCGAATGCCCACCCGCAGAAGGGATGAAAAGGGCGAGAGAAGTTTTCAGGACATTATTAATCTCCTGAAGACAACCGATCCTGACGACGTGCCCGCCTTCGTGGCCAAGCAGCTGAACATGCTGCCTCCCGTCACGTTTGACCACGTTGACGTCACCAAGCTGCTCAAGGATATCACCACCCTGAAAACTGGCCTGGCAGAGGTGCAGTTTACGTTAGAGATTTCCGAATCTACCATCAGTAAGCTGCGTGCAGAGTTATTATCATGCAAAAATAATGGTTCTGTAAGTAGGTCACCGGAGTTCATTAACGTAAACACACGTCGTGGCGCACAAATTGACTCCATCAGCAGTTTGTCGTCGCCGCCGATTACTGCTGAGGTGCACGAATCGCGCGACACAGCGACGACCGCCACCCGCTCCCCGGCCCCGCTGATGACGTCGAATGCGAACGTGGTCATGACCCGTCGCATGCATACGCCACAGTTGCAGCCGCGCCACCCCCGCCGCTACACCCGCCCCGCCAAGCAAGCGGCCCTCGAATGGAGAGAAAAAGAAGAGCCGGAGCAGGCAAGCTGCCAAACAGGTGCCTCCGTCGGGTTCCACAAAGAACAAATATGACGAGGAGGGCTTCACTAAAGTGGAGAGGAAGAAGAGGAAGCCCTCATGCCGTAACATATGTGGCACAGCTCCGAACCAGCCAGACCATCCGATGCGCCCTGCCATACCATCTACGCCGCTGTATGTGTCCCGATTGTACTGGGATGTCGTAGACTACGTCCAGAAGAGGTCCAACTTCAAATTGAGGGTTTAACGGCTGGTACCTCGCCACAAAACGAGTTTCAATTCGTTTTTGGTGAGAATGCCGACTCATCATCTGCCAACCTTCATAAAGGAGGACTTCTGGCCGCAGGGCATCCTGTTTCGGAAGTTCCGAGGTCGTTTGCCCGCTGACACAGCTCACACGTCTGGACTACGTGTTAAATAGTTATAATTAATATAATATATATATGTTAGTTTTAAGGTATATATTTAAGATCTTTTTGTAAATATTGCCTGAAATAAAAATTACATTATATATATATATATATATATATATATATATATATATATATATATATATATCACTACCAGCTTCTGCTAAGAAACTCAAAGACGGTATGGACATCGTATTGCTTCAAGTATCGCGTTTCGCGCATTTTGGAGTGTGTATCAATATTTTCTGCCATCTCTGGTACTGTTATATGTAAGGAATGTAAAAGTGATGTCTTTCACGCAATCGAGTTTTCGACGCTTAGGTTTTACTCGTATAATCGTTCAGTCTTGCAACTATGAAAAACAGAAAGTTATAAATTCGTGCTCAGTGATTCAGAATGCATATGAAATTAATCACCGCTTTGTATTTGTAATGCGTTTACAAGGAATTGATCATGAAGGAGTAAATCTTTTCAGCAGTCTCATGGATATATGTTCAGCTATTTATAACTCAACGTATTACGCACTTTTAGAGAATATTCATATAGCCGCATTTTCAGTTTTTGATACTATGTTGACATTTGCGGCTACGCAAGAGAAAAACATGAATGAAGATGTTGGAAAGCCACGTGATGGATTAACAATTTCAGGGCGGCACTTGAAGAAAACAAGGCTTCTCATCTCTATTTGGTATCTGTACGATGATTGAAAAATACACCAGATGATTTAGACGCTATAGCTATGTGCAGTTTTAACGCTGCTGGATGTAATAACTGGAAAAATAAAAAAAGGAACAATTAGGGTTTTAAATGTGGTATAAATCTTACACCGATGAATGCAGCATAAATCATACTGGAAGCTCTGGTAAAAGGGAAATAAATCACACAAATATTTGCAAGGTGGCAAAGGTGATTGTGACAAAAAAAATCAAGGGGATTTTAGGTGCTAAGTCATACGAAGAAACTTTAGAATCAAAAAACAGTATGTCTTGAAACTGTTTTCTCAAATTTTCCTCCATCATATCTAGAGAACGGTTTGAGTAATTCACTTAAAATTTAGTACACGTAGACGCATGGCGTCACCTAGAATAATCAAAGAATTCCGAATATTTAAATTTTTTCCTTAACGAAAATATTAAAACAAATCATGAAATTTGATACTTTTTGCAAAAGTCTGTGAAAACCCAATTTATCCATATTTTCAAATGATTCTTGATCACTCGAGGCATTTGAGCTTAAAAATTAAAACCCCGTTGCTTTTTTTCTTTCAGATAATCCAATTAGCCGAAATCGTGGACGAAGTGAGCGTCCTTTTTTTCGAGGAGGTGTGTCTTTGCAGTGTTACAAAATTTACTTGTTTGTTTTACATATTCTTGAAATAGTAATAAATAAACGTTAAAGAACTCTGAGTTCTATCTTTTCATTGGTTGTCAAAAAAATCACAAAAAATGCTTAATAAATACGCTGTCACACGGGGTAACTCCCATAATGCAATATTGTCTCGCGTGTTTTATTATTGGCTTTCGGAGTTCGCTAATTATGTTTGGGAGTATTGATTTTATTTGATGAATAAAAATATCTTAACTTACAAGCCATACGCGTATTCCATTTAAATTATTAATAAATTATTTTTAACCGACTTCCCAAAAAAAGGAGGAAGTTCTCAATTCGTCGGAATCTTTCTTTTATATATGTTCACTGATTACTCGAAGACGCCTGAACCAATTTGGAATATTTTTTTGTTTCAAAGGGTATACTTCCCAGGCGGTTTCATATAAATTTTATCGAAATTGGTCGAGCGGTTGTTTAAAAAATCAACAATAAATATATTTTTTAAATAAATCGTTTAATCGAATATGTTATTAAAAAACTTTCTTATTACAAATTACTTGCATATTATGTCTACACTAAAAATGGAAAAAAAAACTTAAAAAAACCGATTTCCAGGCACTAAAATATAAAAAATAACTAAACGGAGGTTTTCATTTAGAATAGATACCTAAGATATGAATATGTAATAGGTAAATATGTATTTTACGTATCGAAATATATTAGATTTGCTTTGCATTGGCTGGCACCGACTTCGAAAATATCTGATTAGGTATCTATTCTAAATAAAAACCTCCATTTAGTTCTTTTTTACATTTTAGAGAAATCTTTTATTTATTTGTTGTTTTGTTTTAAATAATAATAAAAGCTGTGGGTATATAATATAAATTTTAACAAAATATTTGTTAAAATTTTCAGTTTTTAAAATGTTTAATTATTTTAAATAGTACTTTACAGAACAATGGAACCCATAACTCAAGAGCCCACCAGGATCAAACCTACCGTAAATGCAAGCGATAGGATTGTTATCTCTGGCGTTGCAGGCTTATATCCTGAATCACGAAATATTAAAGAATTTTCAGAAATTCTGTATAATAAGGTAACAAAATTTTTGCTATTGTCCTTTTTTGACTCTTGGTTATGTTTATTTGTGTATGTTACATATTAAGTCAGGTCGAAAATATTGAAATGGTCAGTTTTTTTATTATTCATATGTATATCTACTATACAGTGTGTAACATGACTGATCGGCAAGACTTCTCAGAGCTCAAACTGGCTATCGACGGCGTAATCTATTCTAAACCTTAAGATCAAATCAATGTATTAAAAAGATTTTAAAAAGACCAACAGAAAATTGAGATACTATGTGTCTATCTCCTAATATACAATGTTTATCTACTTAAAACATACCTTGGGACTAGTAGTAAGTTGCTAGTTATTTACAATTGTATGATCGATTACCAGTAAGTGTAATGGTGATGTTATTATTTTAAGACTAATCCGGTGAATAAGCAAAAAGATCGTTGGAATTATGATCATCCTGAGGTAGCGCAATATTTAGGTACATTGTCAGACCTTACAAAATTTGACGCGCAATTCTTCAAAATCACTTATCGTCAAGGACACTTTATGGATGCTATGTCCCGTAAGATTTTGGAACAAACGTATCAAGCCATTTACGATGCTGGTAAGACAGTTTACAGAACCAAATTTTCCGTTACTTTATATTTGATGCGATATTAAAAAACTTAAAAAAAACCGACTTCCAGACACTAAAAAGTAAAACAATAACTGAACAGTTTAAGAAAAAGTTAAGTTAAATTTCCTTAAAGAGGAATGTTCACAGATTTCTCGGAGATTACTTAACCGATTTTGCTACTTTAAATGGTGGTGGTCGCCTATTTTTTTTAACACATAATTTATCGTATTCAAGAAAATCCGAAAAAATCATGATATTTGAACTACATATATTAAAAGATCTAGTTTTTTTATCTAGTTCCGATTGGCATATCGAGTTGAAACTTTACAATTTTTTTATTTCTTAAGATAATACAGTTATTTGGTATCATCGAGCCTATCTGATGGTGAGGCCAGAAAGTGGATAGTGGAACTTTTCAACGGCTACTAGTAAATTCTTTGAGTTTAAGCTTATTTAATTTTCATTTGACAAGCCCAATAAGTTAGAATTCTATTTTAAAGTCTGATTTTAGTGTTATTATTGAAAGTGATTTTTTTTAATTTCTTAGTCCCATAAAATTTAGCAGCACCCAAACATACATAGCCTAATCGAATATGTTATTAAAAACTTTCTTCTTACAAATGCTGCTTATACGTCTACACCAAAAATAGAAAAATTGAAACTTAAAAAAAATTAAAACTGACTTCCAGGCACTAAAGAGTAAAAAATAACTAACGGCTCTTTCATTTACTATAGATACCTAATAAGATATTTTCGAAGTCGGTGCCAGACGATGCAAATGCAATGCTCTTTAGATATGTATAATATAATAAATACATCACAAATTAATGTATAATAAAAATATTTTAACTACAATTATTGAAGTTCAAATCTAGTCATTTTCACCTAGATATTCCTATCTTAAAGCATTGTCGGCTGGCACTGACTAAACGAAAACCGTCGTTCAGTTATTTTTTACTTTATAATGCCTGAAAGTGGTTTTTTTTTTAATGAAGTTGGTTAATAAAAAGTTATTTTATAAATTAACTACTATTATATCTACTTCTTCTTCGAAAATTATTTCTTCTATCTTGTATCGAAACAAAGCGCATTTTAATAAGAAAGAAATTTATCTTTATTACAGGTGTTAATCCGGATTTAATATCTGGGAAGAAAATTGGTGTTTACGTTGGTGTCTGTCATTCTGAATCTGAAAAGTCTAATATCTATTGTCCTAGAGTTAAGACCGGTCTTGGTATAACAGGGTAAGTATTTTTAGTCAGTACTTACTATTTAATTGCTATTTTTTTATGACATCAAACCATTTATACAAGCTTTTATTTTACCTGTCTGGGGTTGTGTATCTGGAATCTTGGAAGTTAAATTTGACCCACTTGCGAGTGCCCGACTGAGCTGAAATTTGGCACACTAGTTTGGTTTCCGATACACTGTACGATTATTTAAATGCCGCCAATTTTATAAAATATGGTCGACCCTTATGATATGGGCATCAAATGAAAGAACTTGATAAGCGAAAGCAAATGACGTCACTGTAAATCCAATGTGGCGGACTCCCAAAGATGGCGAACCATGATTTTTTATGCACTCCCATGATATGGATATGAAATGAAAGGGTGTTTTAAGAAGAATATGAATAACTAAAAACCATATTTTATAAAAATATATTTTTAACACTTTTTTTCTTGTTTATCTACACAGGTAAATCTCGTGACAAGCTTTTATATCATATGAACTGTGTAATGTAATAAATTGATAGGTTTGATTTAATTTAAAGTATTTTCTTCTTTTTAGAGCATTTAAATAATAGCTTGTTTTTAACCGACTTCCCTAAAAAGGAGGAGATTCTCAATTCGTCGGAATCTTTTTTTTTTCTTTTTTTTATGTATGTTCACCGATTACTCGAAGACGCCTGAACCAATTTGGAAATATTTTTTTGTTGCAAAGGGTGGTCCCATATAAATTTTATTGAAATCAGTAGAGCAGTTTTTTAAAGCAACAAATAAATTATTTTTTTAAACAAGTTGCTTAATCGAACATGTTATTAAAAAACTTCTTCTAACAAATTACCTGCTTATTACGTCTGCACTAAAAATGGACAAATAAAAACTTAAAAAAACCGAGTGCCAGGCACTAAAATAGAAAAAATAACTAAACGGAGCTTTTCATTTAGAATAGATACTTAATCAGATATTTTCGAAGTCGGTGCCAGCCTACAATATTTTAAGATATGAATATCTAATAGATAAATATGTATTTTACATATCGCAATATATTAGATTTGCTTTGCATTAGCTGGCACCGACTTCGCTTAAAAGGCCGTATACGAAATCAAAACGAGCGAAATTAGGCATTTAACGCGCGCACACCGCGCACACACTCACGCGCAGTAGCGCTCTGTCGCGTGTGTGCGTAAATCCGAAGACGCCGTCTAGCAATTAACCGTTTTGATGCTTTAATATTTTTTACAATTCTTTTACTTTCACTCTCATGGATTTGTAAAATTCACATTGGATCATAATTGAAATGATCGTTCATATTATGTATTGACACTTATAGAAAAATTATGTTTTAACTGTGAAATAGCGTTCATAAAATCGCGTAAATCAACGAAGTCGGCAAAATTTCGTCTACGGACTCTTAAGTATCTATTCTAAATGAAAAGCTCCGTTTTGTAATTTTTTACATTTTAGTGCCTGGAAGTCGGTTTTTTATTATAAAGTTTTTATTAAAAATGTCTTTTCAGAATTAATTTATTTTAACTTTTTAAGTTTGAGCCATCATCATCTTCTAGGTAAACATTCCTTTAATGTAATATTACAAATAAAATATGGTTAAAACTGTCACTATAGGTAAGATTTACTTGAAAAAACAATTAAATGTACACAGTTATTTACAATATTTAATATAAACAGGTCGTTCTTGACTTCTTCCTATTCATAACATTCATTAAAACATATCTAATAAAATTAATTATCATTAAGAGTATGTAACTGCTAAAATCTATTTCAATTCTAGATATATTTTGTTTGTCTAGTTTTATCATAGACTGACGAGACTCATTGATTTGTTAATTTGGAACATTTGTATTTGTAGGACTAATAAAGCTATGTTCGCGAATCGTATTTCATATTGGCTAAATGCGAAGGGACCTTCAATGGCCATCGATGAAGGGTGCTGCAGCTCAATTTGTGCGTTGGAATTAGCTTACCTCGCTATGACTCGCGGTGACTGTGAAATGGCAGTTGTAGCTGGATCTCAATCTCTGTCTTCATCCACAAAACTACTTTCCATTACGGGAGGTATATATTTGAATTAATTTATTACGAGGTCTTAATTTAAATTTTACAGGCATACTAGCGACTCACTCTCGCTTAGCTCAGGCTCGTCCTATATATACAGGGTATTTGTACGTCCGTACGTACTATATATACAGGATTTTTGGTAATACGTCACGATCCCGTTAAAGGGTTATAGTACAGGATATTAGCTATCAATCGACCCTCAAAGTGCGTATGCAAAAGTGTATCGTTTTCTAGTTATTATTATTTTTTCTTTTTTATAGGTAGGAGGGTTTGTGACTTTAAAATTTAATTAAAAAAAGAACAATTTATTTCATAATATATATATATTTAATCTTACTCGTACACATCCTTGTTAATATTAACCAGAAACAAAACAAAAACAATCTTCAAGAATTTTTAAATTAGAGCTCCAAAACTGTACAACTTTTGGATTTTTAATTTTAATTCTTCGAATAACATGCATCTATAAAAATCCCTATGACACTTATCCTGTCGATCATCTTAAAAATATCTATGTTTCGTCAGCTATCCACCGGTACATAAAAGTTACAGAAAGAAACTATAAAGTCAAGAAAAAATGACACAAACAAAGAGACCAGGTGGAAAATTCTAACAAATGCTATTGTTAAGGAATTAAATCAGGATCAAGATAAAAACGACTTTAATGCACAATAATTAAAGATTCTTTTCAGTAGGGTCAACAGGTAAAAAAAGTAGAGATAAACTAGAGCTGTTTGTGCAATGTTGTATTAAAAATACTGAACATTTAGAACATTTATAAATCTTAAAATAGTAATTATAAAAGATACAATAATGAATAAATTTCTTTTAAAAGGAAAAATTTAAGTCATAATTGCTAAATACTTTAATTTACTAGAATTTATTTACGGAATATGCGGTAAATATCTTTTTAGATACTGGATAATTTGAGTTACGATTGCTAAAATTAAATTTGTTTTCCATAATATCTTTAAGAAATGATATGAACAACTTATTTTTGCAAATAATAAAGTACGTATTGGGAAAACGTAACCAAATATATTTTTGTGTGTAAATATTATGTTAGTAAATACATCACAATATTCGGCGTTAAACCCTCGATTCGCAAGTCTAAATACTCAGACCTTAGAAAATCATTACATCCATCAAATTATTAGTTAGGTATAACTAGAACCAGAGAGTTCGTTTTTTTTTTTCTTTGAACTCGGGTGAAACCGCTGGTTCTGCTAGTATTCAATAAACCAAAACCCATGAAAATAATATTCGTACTTTTCAGGGTTTTAAGCACATGTCCCAATGGCAAAACAAAATCCTTTGATACAAATGCTGATGGATGCGCAAAATCTGAAGCTATCAATGTAGTTTTCCTTCAAAAAGCAAAAGATGCTTTGAGGTACATATTTGATGAAGCTTAATTTAAAAAATAATTAGATACACTACTTATTGTAATTTAATTAATTTTATGTTGTTACTATATTACAGAATTTATGCAGAGATTGTTAAAGTTAAATGTGAATTTACCGATTTATGTTTAGATGAAACGGGACCTATATATGGTTTCTACCGTAGACCCGAAAACATGTCTAATTTTTTAAAAAGATTTTATGATGAAGTAAATGTTTCCCCTAAAGCGGTGGAATATCTTGAAGCTGTTGGTTCAGGTGATATTTATATATTTTATGATATTAAAGTTTGTTTCTTTTTATAATATAAGATAAATTGTAATGTATTTTTTTATTAACAGCTATTCCTGAAGCTGATAAATCCGAGTTAGAAGCTATAAGCGAAATTTTTTGCAAGGATAGAATCAATCCACTCTTGGTCGGAAGTGTGATGTCTAACATTGGATATACTGCAGCAGCTTCGGGGTTGTCAGCTCTTACAAAGGTCTATCTAAACATAGAACTCGTACATTCTATTATACTACATTACTTAGATTAAATAAATATTAACTAGATAATTTTTTCATAGTTTTAAATATGTATTTAATGACTATATTAAGTTTTAATAGATTTATCATATCCCATTCAACAGAAAATGTTGAATAGCCTTAACGAAAAGATAAGCGTAAGCGTAACTATAGCATTAATATTGGTGCTAAGTGATAAGTATTTACTGTATTTTACTATAGCTTTATGTGACTATTATTATTATGTTATAAAATAGGTTATCCTGGGCTATGAAACCGGTAAAATCGCCGCCAATCTTCATTGTGATTCACCTCGACAAGACGTACCGGCTTTAAGGGAAGGAAAAATTCGCCTTGTTACTGATCATACAGATTTCGGCCGCTCCTATACAGCTATTAACGGGCTTTCAATTACTGGTGTCAATACACATGTTCTCTTAAATGGATGCTATAAGCCAAAGGTAGGTTTTATAAATTAAAAAAAGAAGAATATATGGATTTTTAATATTGAACAGTTTTTTGGAGTTATACTTATTTTGGCGCGTTAAGGGAAAAAAAGATGAGGATTGTTTTTTTTACGATGCGACAGATTTAGATTTACAATCTGAAGTTAGTCGTCTTTTTTGGCGGGTAGACACGAAACAGTACAGACAAGAATTTAGCAGCTCTAATACAAATACTTTTTAAAATATATTAAATACATACCTATATGTTTTAAAGTGCCATTTCACACCCATAATCTTATATATTTTTAAACTCTGTAGTGACCTACCTTACCAATCGTGCGTAAGCTATGCAATGAGGGATCATTAACATATTGATATATGATGACCACGTTTGGCTCAGTGTAGTGACCCTACTTGCTGTGCCAGGGGTCGCGGGTTCGGAGTCCTGCTGGGGGCATTTATTTGTGATGAGCACGAATGTTTGTAAGCCAGTCATGGGGTGTTTATCTATACTATAATAAAAACTGTAGAGGTTGAATGTATGTACATAGAAAAAAAATGCTAAAAACCGAGTCAAGGGGATGTAAGAAGATAAATAAAACAAGTCCAGATTTTTTTCAATTTTTTTTCTGTCTGTTTGTCTGTTTGTACGGGCTAATTTCCGAATCTATTGGACTGATTTAAATGAAATGTTGCATGGTGGTGATACCTTATCACCCGAGCAACACCATAGATACTTTTCATCCCGGAAAATTAAAGAGTTCCCGTGGGATAGTTAAAAAACTATAATAACTTATACAGCTTAGTACACAACAACGTATGCACCTAATTTAGTAAAATTTGGCACGATGATATCTTATATTGCCGGTCAAACAATAGGTTACTTTTCATCTCGGAAAAATAAACAGTTCCCGTGGGATAAGCCTGTTTGTGCTTTTAATTAAATAGTGTTTATAATATGTATGTACTTAAAGTGTATATGTGTAGTGTATCAACTATCTGGTATCCATAACACAGGCCTCATAGCTTACCATGGAACTAGATAGTGCTGTGTGTTAATGTCCAAAATATATTATTTATTTAAAAACAATTAAGAGCGTCAAA